TAGTTGCCAAGTAGTATGGGCGGTGTTGGTGCTGAGTTGCCCGGAGGCGTCGGAGATGGTGGGAGGAGGACAGATGACCGAGCCAGTTAGGAAACCTTCAAAGCTGTTTGCCCGGAAGAGCTTGATGACTTGGGATCGCCATAGAGAATGGTTGTCTGTTGTTAGCTGCTGGGCAATAACATTCTTGATGTTGCTCATCAAGAATTTGAGAGAGGATGGGATTTGGGGGGAGGAAAAGGTGCCTTCGACGTTAGAGACGTCCGCCTGAGTAGAGGAGGAAGAAGTATTTGCAGTGGATGTCATTGCAGAGAAGAAGTGAGGTTGGGAGAAGCGGATCTAGACTCGTGATACCATGTAAGAAATCAGAACTGGCATCTGATGGAGATAAAAGACGAACAGAGTATAGAAAAGAAAATAGAAATGTTTCATTGAATTGTATTGAGGTTATAGGGGTGCTTTATATAGAGGAAGCTAAATAAAGAAAGTACATGGCAGATAAGGAAATAAACCAAGAAGAGCCTAACGGTACAATGAGGAACCGGTTTTTCCTTGCCACGTGTAAAGGTGGCTTAACACATAAAGCATTACAAGTCTCACCACCATCTTATAGATTTTCCCTTAAATTTGAGGGGGACTTTTCTATCACACAACAAGCTCATACATATTTCAGTAAACGATAATTTTGTTTTCACTTATTTTGAATCTATTTGTCGAGAATGCTCTCCGAAAGTTTTTTTTGATAAGAGAGCATATATCCAAAGCTTGAACCAAAGATGGATGCAAATCAAATTAGATTAACTGTGTTAACTTCAATTAACTCATATCAAGCTAGGAATTGACTGAATCCAAGCCTAGCACAAATATTGCTCATTCTAAATTAAGTCAATGTTTGCCTCTCAAATAAGCTAATTCACCTTATCCCCTGCTATAACAGTGTTACTTGGAGCCGAAAGGCTCAGATAAATTTTATCTGGCTATGGTTATAGAGAGCTCTACTAAGACAACAAACACGGGACTGAGAGAAAGTTCAAGTGATAGAGCAAGCCAAGAAATGGAATCGACCCTGTTTCCTAATTTAGCCTAAATCTGTGGCAACTGATGCTTTAAATTTTTGTCAAAGGCTCAAAGCTAGTTGAAGTTTGCAACGAAATAAAACTTTTAAGAGCTTTAGTGTAAATTAAAACACACTTAGGCTTTCTTTGAGACGGCTTTCTTAATGCTTCTTAAAATAATTTTTTAGTACAAAAATTTAAGAAGCAGTAAGAAAGCCGTCCCAAACGAAGCCTTAGGGGCTGTTTAGTTGATAATTTCATGTATGATTTAGGTTGGATTTAACTTGAATCTTCCTACACTTTTTGTTATAATCTTGGGAGGAAGAAGTTTTCTTTGAGCTTCCTGGGAGAGAGAGGGCGAAGAGCAGGAGCTTTATTTATTCATCATGAAGCTCCTAATACATCAACCTATAACCTCTATTTATAGGGATTTAATAAGTGGAGATGTCTTGCGGATCAACTTAAACTAAAACTAAAACCAGACTAATTTCTATCACTTTTTATAAATGGTTTTTAAATCCTGTGTAGAGGTTCATTTGGTTGCTCAAAGCTAGAAATTATATTTTTAAAGCAAGGATGTTTGTTAAATTCATCATTTCGTTGGATGCAATTAAACTCTAATTTTGATTTCAAACTCTACAAAAGCCATCAAAACTTCCTTCAACTATAAGATTTTAATTTCAAACTCAAAATGAGAGAATAAAATCCTTACTTTTAAAACAAGTTCTTCATCTACATGCAACCAAATAATCCCAAAGTAAACCTGGAATTTAGCAAGATTTGAGAAATCAGGACTAAAATCCAATATTCATCAAATTCTCAAAGGACCAAAAACTAATAAATGAATTAAATAAACCCTGATTGTTAAAACTCTTTGACGACTTGATTTTAAACACGATATACTTGGCAATGGCCAATATATGGACGAGGCAGTGAACAATCACCAAAGGGTACCTAGGATTTGCAGTTCGATGTTGGAAGGCAAAGGGCAGCATGGGCAACAAAATTGTGGTGAGCAATGAAATTGGCACTGGTAGGATTAACTCTAATGGGCAGAGGCGATAAAGGCGCTAGTGTAAAGTGCTGATTTTGCTCCAGGATCGTCCAGAACGATCTGGGATCGTCCTGGGACAATCAGTTGAAGTTTTGTTCCAGAATGTGTCCAGATTGCTCCAGGTAATTTTCCTGTAGGTATCGGCCGGGCTGATAAGGACATCGTCCAGGCCGATCGGTTCAGTGCATGATTTCGTCCTGAGAACCGCCCTGGGAACCGTCCAGGACGATGGATTTTGTTCAGACGATATTGCGATCGGCCGGCATTGCGATCGGCCGGGCCGATCTGTGTATTATAAAGTTGAAATCAGTCGTTTTGAGGAGAGAGAAAAATCAAAATTAACGAAAATATCAGCCGAGGAGAGAGAAAGTCGAGGGCTTTTTGGAAAAAGTTGATTTTCGAGCGACGCGGCTCCGTTTTCCTCCGACGAGACTGTTCAGGAATTGCTGTACGCAAGGTAAGGCACATTCCGCCTTTCTCAATTTTCAGAACCGTCGTGTTTGGCGGTATTTTCTGTCCGGAATTGATTTTTATTCGTGATTTTCGTCCGTATTTTCCGATTGGTTCAGTTTTTACCGCGTAACTTTCTGTATGTTGTTGACGTGCCGAGTGTGCATATTTTGATTATTTTCTCGAGATTTTTGTCCGGGTAGTTTTGATTCGACGGTATTTTTCGTCGACTGGATTTTTCTGTGTAGTTTAAAAATTGCTGAGCAGTAGAATTAAAGTCTTGAAATGTTGTTATCTACATTCTGTGCAAATTTGGTATTCTGTGATTTTTCAGGAAAAATTATGTAAATTCCGTATACAGCCGTTGTGCTGCCCGATTTTCGTGTGATTTCTGATTTGTCCGGATTTCTTCTGAATTGATATGCTATCTGTATATGCTATAAAAAGGGAGATATAAGGGGCCTGGATCCTAAGAGATTCAGTTAGTGTCTGGGAAATCTGAAATGAGCTCAATCTGAAATTCTGAAATCAGTTCTGTTCCGGATCCGATGAATTCTGTTCTGGTGCTATAAGCACATTTATTCTGGTGCCGTGAGCACAAAGGGAGGCATAAGGGGCCAGAATCCGAGAGATTATGTAGTGTCTGGGAAGGGAGGCATAAGGGGCCAGAATCCGTTGAGATTATGTCAGTGTCCGGGAATCTGTTCTGACTTGTGTTATGTTCTGAATTAATTGATTTCTGACTTTCGTACGATATGATTTGATCTGATTTGTATGATATGATTCTGATACGATTCTGACATGATTCTGTTCTGTTCCGATATGATCTAAATTTCTGATTTCTGTAGATTCTGATTCTGTTGATTTAATCTGTTCTGATTTGTATTCTGATTTGATCTGATCCGTACGACTCTGATTCTGATTTGATATATGTCCGTATAAGTTCTGATTTGATTCTGTTCTGATTCGATATACGATTCTGTTCCGATTTCTGATTGGATTTTGGTCTGATGTGTTTGGTTTTGGATTCTGGAAGCTTTGATTGGAGGTTTGTCGCTTTGCTGAGCTGTTGAGCTCACTCTTGTTTTCTGGTGGTTTTCAGGTTCTGGGAAAGGGAAGGAGGTCCAGAAATATATTTCAGAGTCTGATCCGTAGGTATTGTTTTGTACTTTTGATTTTTTGTACAGACATGGCTCTTCTGCTATGTTTCTTTCTGTCTGAGCCATGGTCTGTAGTTGTAGATGATTGTTTTGAGGAAAAGAAAGAAAAAAAAATATAGATGTTTTGTTCCGCTGCATTTGATGTTTCATAGTAGCTATGTGTGTCTATTTTTGAGTTGAATTATTTGGAAGAATCAGTTCTGAAGCAAATTCCAAAGCCAGATCCTGGTCAGTTAGATTGTTCGTTCCGGTCGCGACCCGGTGCGAGCGGGATCCGTCCCGGATCGGGTCGGGTCGTGACAGCTAGTAAGTGTCATAAAAAGGCTGCTTTGTTGATGTATTTTTTCATAGAGCTCTTAATATGAGATCGGTGTCTCGCGGGTATTGATCACCTCATAATAGGGAACGGGGTGTCATTTGTGATGCATCCTAAGTTCCTATATTATTTAGGAGGACACTTATGCCCGCAACTAAGAAACTTCCTTTCAATAATACGTAAACAAACACAAACAAAAAGTGATTTGGTAGAAAACAAATGTTAGAAATTGTTTAGGAAATCACTTAGGAAAGAAAGATACAAAGCACTTAAACAATAATAACCCTCAAAACAAACACGTATGATCACCTCACATGCAATATACAAAACTAGAGAAATGTGCTCAAATGAAAGAACTAACAAGTAATCCACCACTAAAATTTAATTCAGCACAAGTCTGCACTCCTTAGATAAATACCAACATAACAGAATAACAACATCGCCTTACAACTCACAATATTTAGAAAAGAAAGACACGTGGAAGTAAAACCATGGAGACAAGAAGAATAAAGAAAACTGAGAGGAAGTAATAGGGGATAGGGAAAAGACTAGCTCTCAAACCACGAAGCAACTCTCAAATTGAATTTTTCTTACCAAAAACAATTTTTACAATAAAGTTTCAGTCACTTTATGTAAGGGAAGGAGAGGAAAAAAAGCATTTAATTGTTCAATTAAATGAGCCATCATTTTAGCCAATACAAGCAATCAAAATCAGCTTTCAAAGAAGAAGCCGAAGCATCCAACTCATGAATCAACAAAGGGGAAAACCAAACAGCCAAAGAGGGAGAGAGGAGGAATCCCAAGCAACTAAATCAGCAAAGGGAAAATCCGGACAGTCAAAAGGAAGAAATGGGTCAAGCCCACTAAGGGAAAAAAATAGCCCACAACTAAATACCCAACGAGCTAACAAGGAGCAAGGAAGCAAGATTAAACTCAAATGAAAAGACATTGGTATGAACCAACTCGAGAGCACCGAAACCACCATAATCATTAGTTGTTTTCCATCATAGGTCAATACAAAAATAAAATATTTAGTTTCCCATAACACAAAAAAATAAAAATACACAAGGCGGGTTACCCTTCATTTACAAACAATCACCAAAATGTAGGTGGAAAACTATATTGGGAAATCAAATAATTCCAAAGTGAGAAACTGAATGATATATTTCCTCTAATAGATTCTGATTCATGATGATAAAAGCCTTTAAAGGACCAAACAACTAAACAAGTCAGTCAGTTCTCTCAACAATTATAAGCCAATAAATTCACAAGTTTGAAAGAGAAAAAACTCACACCATCATTCTTTCTTCTTCCCCGTGATATTAGAAGCCAAATCTCTGAAAAACTTCACCGATTTGGTGACAGGTGAATTCGCGGCCATCAAATTATACATAACATTCTCCACCTCACCAATTTCTGGCCGCCTCTTGAACCTCGAAACCACCTGCAAATCCCCCTTCTGATTCCCTTCATCCTCCACCATAACCACCCATCCATCCCCACTCATAACCCCATCCCTCACCCACTTGAAAACAACAGCCTTTCTCCTACTCAACAGTCCTCTCACCTCCAACCCCATGAAAGAGTAAACCACATCGAAAGACCCAACGAATCTCCCCAGCTGACCATCAAAGCCCTTCTCCTCTTCAAAACTCCACTTAGGGTTAAACAACACCGCCGGTTTTGGGCTCAAAGAGTTGGTGATCACTCTAATCTGCTCCAACATTGAAGCTTCCGGCGCCAAGAATACAGCCAAATCAGCAGAGTTCAGTAATTCATTGCTGAAGGAAGCAATATCAAAGTGGAATATGGAATTTGAAGAGGTGAAAGCTCGACGAGCAGGGTCTAGAAGAGCGGAGGAAGACCAGAAGAGCAAAAGATTGGGACTTGAGCCTTTCTTGGTGATGGGCAAGGAAGAGAAGAGATCGGCAGCTAGAGAAGCGAGTGAGGAAGGGGAATCGTCGTCTGCTATGGGGATTTCGACGCGGAAACGGGGTTGGCGCTGCTTCTTGAGCTTGCTGGTGGGAAGGATATGAGAGTTATTAAGTGGTTTTTGGAGAGAAGACGAGAGGCAGGACTTGGCTTGAGAGACGGCTTCTTCTCTTGAGGTAGGAGGGGAAAGAGAGCAGATGGAGATGGTTTTGGACAGGGGTTGGAGAATAAAAGTCGCCGGCTTTGGGAAAGAAGTACGGAATTCGAGAATGGCGGGTTTGTGGAGGAGCTTCAGTGGATTGGATGCCATTGTTAGGAGCTCGAGCTCGTAGATTGGCTTATTGGCCTTATCTATAATCGTATAGACTATTCGTTTCTTTAAATGCAAATTGTTAAAACTGTTGGCCATATCTATCCTTCCATCAGAACAAAATTTTTTTATAAGGTTTTAAGCACCAAATAGTATATAGAGAAATCAAATTTTATTGGAATGTTTGAAGATTACTCTGTATTACTATTAAGATTCTGATGCAATAAAATGAACTCATATGTTATTGCCTTTCAATTAATTTCCTTATTGCAATTTGCACCTTATGCAAAAGCAAAGTGAATGCATAAACTCATTGCATATATTATATGCCAAAATCATCGGTGGCATAGAAAGAGATAGGATATCAACATTATAGGTGTCAAAACTTAACTCGACTCGCTGACCCTACTTAGACTCAATACTATATTTTCGAGTTTAGGGTGACCCGTTAAACAAACGGGCCGGGTTTAGATCAATATGCCAACCCAAAATTAACCCGGATCGTAGGAATTATAGGGATTTTGCGGAAGAAGCGGGAGCGTGACAGGCAACATCGGTATGAGAGCGGGAGCTATGGGACGGGCGGGATTTCGTAATACGATTGGGAGCAACCAAGCCGAATGAGGACATGTAAAATCCAAAATGGGAGCGGGAACTGCGAGCGAGCAGAATTTTGTAATCCAAAGGCCGGTTGTATTTCATAATTTGCATTTCATTTGGCGAACAAGCGGGTGGACTAGCGAAGATTTATGGGATTTGGTCAATTAAGCGTGCAAAATAAGAGAAAGACTGTGTGGTTCGCTCGAGTCAGCACGTGGAAGGGTCTAACATCATGTTTACTTCATTTGGCAAAATGGAAATAGCAAAAAAAAAAACAGCTTGTTGGATCTTGTCGGGTCGACTCAAACCCGAATCGGGTTGAGTTCAGGTTTGGGTATGTGACATGTTTCTCTAATTGGATTGGGTTCACGTTGGGTTAGATGATAACGGGCCGTTTTTGAATTAGACCCAAACCAGACCCGAAAATCAATTTTAACACCCCTAATCAACATGTTAGTAATCTTTAATAATTTCTTACCTGAAAAAATATAATAATTGCAATGTGATGAATGTTTCTAGTTAGCAGATAATAACTTTTAATAACATGGCAGACATTACAAGCAATGTCTGGTGGAATAAGAAGATTTTTTAGCTTTTCTCCAAAAAAAATGTAGAAAGAAAAAAAAACAAAGATTATTAGGTGATATGGTTCACCATATTTTAATGCTTTGGATTCTGCTTATTTCATTTCTATTATGTGTGGAAATTATTTTCATACTATTATAGAGTAATATAAAATTAAATACTGATTGCATCATTGCATTAAATTGATAAATTATGCAAATTAAGTCTTCCTACTTGCATACCATATATATTTGTATTAGAAATTGAAGAGAGAAAATATTTCACTGATAAAAAATAATAATAATAATCTAAAAGATATCACATCAAATTTATCTTTTTGATAAATCAAATTCAATAAGACATCACTCCACTCTTAGTTCTATTTAACTATTATTTTTTTATTGCTTTTGGAAAATGTATGTGTTAGAAGTTTGCTTTTATAAACAACTTTAAAAAAATCTATTTTCCCCGCATCAAATTTACAACCAACTTTATAAAAAGCAATAGTCATAATAGAAAATGGAGAAATTATTCCGTGTGGACACCGGACTGTCCGGAGACCAACTAGAATGTGTCACGTCACCTGGTACACAGTGGTACCGAGCATTGGTACCGAGTAAAAAAATGACTTGCCACGTCCATGTTGGTCCCCGGATGGTGTCCGGGATATGCACAGAATAATTTTTCGATAAAAAGGCCCTTAGTTTATAGTAAGATACTCTTATTAAAAAATTGGTCTATCTTGGTCACAAGATCCAAGAAAATATTTAATGTATCTAAGTAATTGGTTGCCCTATGAAGCTTGTTACTTTATTGCAAAAAAAAAAAAAAATCAATAATTTATTATTTAATTTTATATACAAAAGCAAGTGTCAATTGACTCTGCAATACATTGTAAGGGGAAAAAATGATTCATAATATAAATGTCAAAAATCAAGAAAAGAATTTCAATGTCTAAATAAAAATATATCATTAGAATGTTATATTTAATTAATAAGACATAACGATCTTGTAGAACTTAAAAAGGTGAATGTAAATAGAATAAGGGACCATTAATGAGGATGAAATCTATTTTGTTGATTAAATTTATTAAAATGATTGGCGAAATATCTGCTAAATGTAATAATTTATCTATAATTTTCTATTTTAAATGAAGAGGAACGCCTAATTAAGGGCAGTTCAACAGAGCCCTGCATTGGGCATCCATACCCACACCCACCCACGTACCCACCCATACCCAATGGATATGGGTGGGTATGGGTATGCTCATAGACTTATGGGTGGGTACTCAATATGGTGGATAAACCCTCAAGGAGATCATCCAGCCCATCTTCGAGGAGAAGTTCGTGCTCCAGCCCATCCATGTCATTGCGACGATGCTCGACCCGGTCATGAAGACGCGTTTGTGTGGGTTTAACATCAATGCTAATCAGGTCGATGAGGCCAAGGAGAAGTTGAAGGCATACATGGTCAAGTACAACCATGGCCTTAACTCAGTCATCGATGAAGATAACGATGGCATAAGGCCACCGCCGGCTAAGAAGGCACGGATAGACACCACCGCCTCCTACTCAGTCTACGATGACTTGCCTAAAGATGATGATGAGCCTGAGATGGCCACCAACATTGCCCTAACAGCTTGCAAGTCAGAGCCAGCCTAGAGTTCACGGCCTACATGGCGCATAGGGTCATCCTGCAAGAACAGAAGATGTGCGATGATGAGGACGGGGAGTTCGATGTTCTGAAGTGGTGGGGGCTCATGGGCGTCATGATGTTCCCGATCATGGCACTCGTCATGCGCTCTATTTTATGCATTACGGCAGCCAACACCATGTCTAGAACAACTTTTCAGACGTCAGCAACACACTGACTAAGAAGCGCAATAGTCTAAAGCCCGCTCACGTGAATAATCTATTATTCTACTGATCGAACAATGACTTGTGCGGCTTGTTAACACGTTAGTCCAATGCACCGCAAGCTTCATATAACATATTGTGATGCACTCTAACAACTTGTCCCCTGCATCACTATATAAAACCATGTATTTTATATTACAGACATTTGAGAAATATGAAAATACTTTTATTCTGTTATTGTCTTCTACATTTCAATTATATGTAGGATTTCTTTTACGTCTAAGGTCGAACAATGCATGGGTATGGGTGGGTACGTCATCCTGAAAAATATTATGAGTGGAGGGTGGGTGGGCGAAGCCAGTCCGCACAGAGCGTGGGTACCCGCTTTCCATTATACTAAATTTAGAGACATGAAAGAATATTGATAATTGAGAGTATTCTCATATATTGCACTCAATATTTTTTTAACCATTAGAATTTGATAAGAATTCAATACTCGCAACTTTTAAACCTAATTTTCTATCTCATGTCACTACGGGATTATCTATTGGAGAATTCTTTTAGCATATTTTCATTAATTATCATGTTGGGGAGAAGATCATCAATAATTTCTATCATATGGGATGATATGATCATAAATATCCTTTCCAAATATATGAGGCCTTTTTTAAGCTTATAAACCTTTGATGAGTGGTGAAAACTTATCTTCATCTTTGAGATGAAGTGACTTAGGCTTATAATTTGATATGCAAGATATTGAAGCACTTTGGTATTTCTTAAGATTGGCATTTTCATAGTTTCTTGAACTTTATCTATACTTATCTTTATACTATTTTAGATAAGAAAGAAGAGTAGAAACTTTTTTAACCTTTTCAAAAGAAATTTTTTAGCAAGTTGTGATTCATATTATACTTCCTTAAGTAATCAATCATCTCTTAGAGGTTTGTCATTGGTTAAGGTAGAGTATTCCTTTTAAATAGCAAGCCATTTACACAAAATTTTATGTTATTCCATCTCTATTATTTAAAGACATTATACTTCATTTACGGGTAAACTACCTCAACATTTTCAACATAACCAACATATTAATTTGTTGAAGTTTATTCAATGATATATGATATTAATGTTGACACCCAATACTTAAATTATGGACCAGTAGTAAATATGAATATTTGTTCATTGTCGTCTGACAAGTTGATCTTCATGCTCCACATCAAAGGAAGCACTCTTGTATAGAGTATGAATTGGCTTGTTGTGTAAGGCAGTATTTTTATGGTTTTAGAAATCACTTTCGTCCCGGACGATTCAGTCCAAAAATCACTCCAGAGAACATTCCAGAAATCAACTGTTTTCAATGCACTGATCGGCCTGGACGATCTCACCATCGTCCCGGCCGATCCTGGGGAAAAATCACTTTTCCCAGCAGCTACAACAAAGGAACGAGGTCTCACTGCTTCACTCTAAGCTTTAAGCCATAATACTTTTTGGAAAGAACAAGCATCCTTTATATAATAAATTTCAAGATTGTAGAACATATTCCTTGACATTGGAGTTCAAAGTTTACAAGAAGCTTCACTATGACATTGGAGTTCAAAGTTTACAAGAAGATTCACTATGACATGGAACATTGAAATAATGACTTTGAAAGTGTTCAATAGAAATAATGACTTTAAACGTGTTCAATATGTCATTCATAGTTATCTCAACTATAATTATCCTGACTTTTATTATAAATTGGAGGCTGCATTCCCCAAGTGATTGACAATGCAATCATGCCTTCTAGTTATCTCAACTATGAATCCATTGGTGCATCTTAAACTCAAATAGTTGTTGTGCCTCGACGATCTTGGTTGGAGAAACTATTTATATACTATATGAGGGTGTTGTCTTGTGGTATTCTAGTTAGAGAGATAAGACTCACCATCTTAAGATAGAGTTATATCATCCCATGTTATTAGACATCATAGACTCGTAATAGGAATTGACTTGCTCACAAATGTAATTACCAAATGGAGCAGCTTTAAAAAACCGCTCACATGTATTATGGATCATCTTTGTCAAACAATCCTTCATTTTATATAATATAATCAATTA